GTTGTGGTGATATTTGTTGTTGTTGTGGTGATATTTGTTGTTGTTGTGGTTGATATTGAACGGATGAGCCATGTTGTTGTTGTTGTTGTTCTTGACTACTTACCGTTCGTACAGTAGCTTTGATTTGATGTGAAGACGGTGGAGGCTGTTGATATTGTTGTTGAGGTGCACTTTTATTAAATCCAGCTACGGATTGATGTTGTTGTGGTAATTGGTATGAATCATTTTCAACATGTACATTACGGTCTGACCGAATTTGTTGATGTTGTGAAAGTCCGCCTGAAACACCAGCTGGATGTGATGTATATTCACTTGAAACAACCGATGTACTGACAGCTACTGGTGAAACATACGCTGAATCTTGTGTTGATCTTTGTGCTTGTGACGTAGCATTAGTGTTACCATCAAAATAATATTGATTGCTATTATGTTCATTTTCAATGTAGTGTGTGGCCATTTTCTTTTTTTTTTTTAAATATTTAGTTAAATATTCTTAGACAATTGTGAAGAAAAACAAAAGAGATAAACTAAAATATCCAACCAGCAAACAAAAGAAATAGAATTACTACAAATAAACCAAATAGATGAGAATAGATAGCGGTCGTTCGGTTTGTCTTATCAACACATGATTTTTCTCGTTCTCGTTTATGCTATTTCCTCTTTCTACTTTTGTCTGTCTATATGTATAAATAATACATAAGGAAAGCGTTTCCAAAGAGTGTTGACTAAAAAGCAAATCTGTTATACATTTCTTTTTTTTTTCTTAGTGTGGATAATTTCTTCCACTGTCGACGCAGAAAAGTATAGAGCAAACGGATTCGTATACATACAAGACAACTCATCGTTAGCGAGAAGGAAGAAAAAAAAGATATGCAACAACAACATACTACCACAAAACCTCTTCTATATACTCGTCTTTATAGATATATTTTTCTTCATACATCGCAAAGAGAAACGACATATATAGCAAAAAAAAAAAAGGAGAAGAAGAAGGATATAAGTGAAAAGCAACGTAGTGTAGATGATTAGCACTAGCATTTCCGAACTACGGGACATATGACCTCTACATGTGTTATGTTATTTGTGCTTGTGATTAAGATTTGCAGATCTGCAATGTTCTTTCTGTAATTAGAGAGAAGATAGATCATATACTTTATTAATGTTGTTTTCTTTTTGAGCAAAATAAAGATCAATAATAGTGTAATCGTATTGTATAAGAATTTTATTTTATTTTAACATCACTATATTCTTAACTAATATACTAGATAGTAGATATGAAAGATAAAAATAATACATGTGAAATATTAGATGATATATAAATCATGATCAATAAGATATACCGACTCGCTCATAAGAATATAGAAAAATATAATATTGTAATTGAAAAACTAATATTCAAAAAAATCTATTTGAATAAGAAAATATTTTAGATTTATATTTAAACGACAACAAAAATATACCCTTTAAGTTGTCCTTGATAGATAGTATCTGTGATATGACAGATTGACGTCAATTCTTGCTTGTATAATCAATGAAGCTGAATTCGAAAAAAAAAACAAATATTCTTTGATTGATTGATCAGATTGAAAATTTTAATGAAACATAAAGAATTTTCTCTTAATTTATGGTTGATTTCAGATTATTATTGAATTCTATAGATCATGTAAATGTTACCATCTGAGAAAATCATTTAGATATTGTTTTTTTGTTTAGAATATATTAATAGCAACTAACTATTCAAGATATTAGATAGACGAGATCATTATTCTTCTGTTAACAATAATATAGTGTAAACGTTTTTTTTCATATACAAATCACTTTTATAATAATTAATAATTCCTATCGAAATGAATAGTATTTACGACAAGGTGGTTATTCAATGCGAGTGCTTGTCAATGTGACATACAACAGAAAAACATCAGAAAAAAAACAACAAATCCTTCTATTTATAGAATATCTACTTTGAATATTTGTTTTTTTTCCACTTGACAATATAGACAAAAAGAAACTGATATACATACAATTTATTGATTGTTAATCTTGACTTTATTTCTTTGTTTTTTTTTCTTAAGACTGATCAAAAATGAAAAGAAATATAGTTGTGTTAATTTTGTAATTTTCAATAATGACATGATAATTTTTTGTTTCTTTTCTCATCTGACATAAATTAATAGATTTATAATTATTATAACGTATTTTGTATGCGGTTTCAGGAACTAAATATTGTCTCATTTAAATTATTTAGTGTTTGTACAAGAGTTTGACTTGTCTCTAGGTTATTTTCTCTAATAATTCTTTATTAATATTGTTGTTGTTGTTGTTGTTGTTGTTTTTTCACACATGACTGTTATTCTGATATGTTTCTGATGACTTAAATACGATCCTATCGAAGATATAATCAGATTTTGTTTTGATAAATTCTAGTATAATCTGAGTTTATCTGTTTGTGAATCAGATCAGATTTTTTGTCTTATAAGTAGAAAAACTGATGCATGAGAATACGAATGTTATCATATTAACAAAAAGTTGGTGCATGAGAATATAATCCGAGATTAAACAATGAAATCTGTAATAAATTTTGTATTTTTTTTGTCTGACAGATATTATTATTGTTACATCCAATATGAAAATTTTTATTGTTACTTTCTATAGAGACATCCTCAATTGACGACATGAAATTAACAAAAGATTATCTGATTGCTAACGAGGAGAATGTCTTTAGTTGCTCTCTTCCGATTTCAATGACTTTTTACCTATAGATACTACATAGTGTTCTAATAAAAACTTGAAAAGGATTATGGTTCCCATTGAGATTCAACTAAGTTACCGAAGTTTTTTCTCGAGGCTCCAGATTTTCGGAAAACAACTCGTATTTTCGAATTTCGATCTGAAACTTTGCGTATATAAATAACTCAACTAGGTTAGCTTATGATCTACATCTTGAAGAAACTTTGTTGAAAACTTTTATGGAAGTTAATCAAGTTCAGTTCTCTATATGTACAAAGTTTCAGATCAAAATTCGGATATACGAGCTTTCCGAAAACCTAAGGCTTCTAGAAAACAAACATATCGGAAATTTGCTAGTTTAATTAAATTCCAATAGAAAGTCCAATCATTTTAGGATTTTTATTAGAACATTGTGTAGTATCTATAGGTAAAAAAAAGTTATTGAAATCGGAAGAGAACAGCTGAAGAGATTCTCTCATAAGTTTTACGATCGATCAAAGGGCGTTCTAGATTTTATGTAACCATTTTGGTCTGTTTTTTTTTGCGTTGATCCATGAACATTGCCATGAGTTAGTCAAGAATAATATACACTCTTCTGAATTTGAGATAGCAATGAACAAAAAATTTCCTGTTCGCTATTCTAAAACATAAAATTTTACTCAAATAGTGTAAGAGTAATATCTTTCTATATTAAAATTAATTTTCTGCGCTAATTTCTCAAAACAGGAAGAAATATATTTCCATAAAATTTTTTGTCATAATCATTTCATTTGAATTTCCTGAAAATAGGAACTTATAATCTCATGTTGTGAGTAGATAATACATAATAGATTTCTCAATATTAGAATCAAATAAAAAGCATTTCACTGATTATTATATAAGAAAGATAGCAACAACGACTACTTCATAAGATTCAATATAATGAAAGGAAACCAAGTAAATTACTTTGTAATTTCAAGTGAAGAATAAATTGCATAGTTATTAAAAAATCGAAAGTTTAATGGTTTCTTAGGTAGTGGCTTCATCCATCAACAAGTGCAATACAGCATATATGGACATGAATCGGTTACATAATTAGCGAAGACAAACAAAGAAATTCTCTATATGACAAGATATGATCTGGTTCTTTATGTCAAAAAAAAATCGATTATTCAGAATTTTGTCAGTTTCAAAAATAAGATAAATGCACATATAAAAATACATTTGTTTTTTTTGTTTGAATTTTAGCAAGCTCATTTTGTTTCATTTATAATGCACTATTCAATATGATGGCAGTATTGAATGATTGAAAATCCAGGATGAATATAATTTTTTGTTAGGAAGAAAAATAATGGTTTTCGATAAAAAACAAAGAGAGATTTTAAGAGAAAAGAACACATCCGACATACGCTTATAAATGTATATGTTTGGTAGGCATTAAAAAACAGAACGAAAAAATCAGCCCATAATAATTTTGTAAGTATGTATGTTCTGTTCTTTTACTAAAATAATGAATGAGTCAAAAAGAAAACATTATTAATGAATATAAAATATTCATTGTTATATCATCATGAAATGAAAATTCATGATACGAATAATAAAAAAGAAGCAGCTTTCAATTGAAATATACAGTAAATAAGATTAGTTAGAAATATTAAATGAAGTAAAATAAAATAAACAAAAATTTGAACAACTATACCATGTGTCAATTCATTTCTTTTTTAGAGACACTCGAACAATGAAAGAAAAAAAAAATTTACTTTGTTTCTCTTTGTAGAGTTTAGCTTCTATTTGCACATGCGTTTACGCTTCTAGCAGTAACGCACACATACATCATTAAGATTATGCCTTTTCAGACAACTTTCTATCAACGAACCTTTCATCGTGATTTATTCTTATCACCAATTAGTTATCAATCAATAAATGTTCTAATGCGACGAAATTGTAGTGATCGTATATGCATTCTTTTGAGTGTTTTACTATTGTTCTATTGTGGATGGTATATTTTTACTTCATCAAATCGTATTTTTGGATATCAATATGATCCAGCTGAAGAATTAGCTTATAAAAATGCTATTCATGCATCATCACCTATAATAGACAATGAACATATATGTTTATCAGACGAAATCGATCTTATATATCTAATTATTTCTTCAAGTTCACATTTTCTTGAACGACAAACAATACGTGAAACATGGGGATCAATGTCTAATATTTTTGGTGTACATTCACAACGTATTTTTATTATTGGTTATCGATTGGGTGGTAATTTTTATAAAGATTTATCAAATGAAGCTACACATGAACAAGATTTACTTTATTTAACTATTGATGATAATTCAGTTACACTTAAAGAATTACATGCTTATCGTTGGTTAGAACAATATTGTTCTAATGTAAAATATATATTTAAAACAGAAGATGATCTTTTTATAAATTCTCTTCTTATACATGAACTTATACGAGAACTTAAAACTGATTCAAATAATATTGAAAATCGATATTTATATAATATATCATTAAATTCACTTTTTCTTGCTCAAACATCTTCTGATGCAAATAAATTTCTTTTTGGTTGGGCATTTCAACCAGGTCGACCAGAACGAAATCTTACTGTTTCACAATATTATGTTTCATATAAAGAATATCCAAAAGAATTATATCCACGTTATTGTTCTGGTTTGTTTCTTTTTCTTTATAATTATGTTTATATATTATGACTTTTTTTTGTTTTGTTTTATTCTTGTTAATTTAAGGTTTTGGTTATCTAATGAATTCTAAAACAAGAGATGTACTTACAATAGAAGGTTTTAAAATTAAAGATCCATTTCGTCTTCCTGATATATTTATAACTGGCATATTACCTGAAAATCTTAATTTTCAATGTGAAATACTTCCATTTACTTTTCATCAAGGTACAATTGATGAATGTATAAGATTAATTCGAAAGAGTACTACAATAAATCCATTACCACCTAATCCACCAGTTATTATATGTTCAACTGGTCGTCATATAGGACAAAATTCATTTTCTGATTATCATAGAATGTGGACAACTCTTAAACATATCTATGCTGATAAATTACATACAGTAAATAATTAATCACAAAAAAAAAATATTTTTTTTATTTTATTTCTGTTCAATTCTCGTTTATAATTATATTTATTTCTTTTTTCATCAAGATTATAAAAATAAACAATATAATATACATAAGTAACAAAACAATCTTAGTTATAAAAAGTAAATAAATAAATAAATACAAAAGTACAATGAAAAAGTTAACAACTAAAATTTATTCATCCATTGAATCTTCATTATTATCAATACTATTAATTGTTGTATCGCCTAAAATACATGAATAGTAATAACATAATTAAAAATTAATATAAAGTAAAGATTTTTTTACCATCGGTACCACTTGTATTACCTCGTTTCTTTGAATTTGATTTTTTACTACTCTTCGTTTGAAGTAATACCTTAAAACAAAAATATCTCTAGAGAATTAAAAACAAAAAAACAATATATTCAACAAACTTGATGAAGTTTAGGCATGACACCACCAGAAGCAATAGTGACATTTTCACATAATTTATTCTAAAGTAAATAACAAACACATAACAAAAAAAGAAAAAACAACCGGAGAATTTGTTTTTTTACCAATTCTTCATCATTATGAATACCCAAAAAAATATGACGAGGTGTAATACGATGTCGTTTATTGTCTCGAGCAGCATTACCTGCTAATTCAGCAACTTCGGCAACCTATGAATATAAATAAAAATACAAAAATTTATGATAATAAACTTACTAAATATTCAATTACACCAGCCATATATACAGCAGTACCATCACGAATTTGAATAGGATAATTGGCTTCTTGTAAAAGACGATGAATTCGATGAACAGGAAAGATTAATCCCTGAAAAAAAAAATTGATTATTGAAAATTAAAAAAAAAAAAGTAATTACAAATTTAACTTACAGCTCGTTTTGTACGTCGTACAGGTTTTAAACTTGATTCACCACCGTCAATACGTTGACTATTACTTTTTTCTTCCTTGTTGTTATTTAAATTCTGAGATTGTTGTCGTTGTTGACTATTAGTACTTTGTACAGTATTATCTGATGTGTTTTTTTGACTTGATGATACATTTGTATCATTATTATTATTATTATTATTTGTCTTTGATGGCATTCTATTAAAAATTATTATTGAAAAGTTACAAAACAAAAATAAATTGTTAAGAATAAGTATGAATGATAATCGTAGTAGTTTTAATGATTGTAATTAAAGAAATAACGATGAATACACGAGTATTTATACCGAGAGAAAAAAAAAACAATGAAAGATTCAGAGTGTATAAATTAATAGGATTGTATTTTCAGAGAAATTTATTTTAGTTCGTCCGTCTGATTAGATGACAGTCTGTGAACGATAAAAATTCAATAAATAATATATGTTGTTGTACTTCATCGATCGAAGTCACGTGATAAAATATCTCGTTTATAATCATTATTGTTGATACAGACAAAAATGAGAGAAATAATTTTGTTATAGTAACGTTTTCTTATTTAAACTTTGACTGAAATGTTTTCTTTTCTCTAATATACAACGAACAGAATTATCACGATTCGGTTTAAATTATTAATATCAAACATTTTTAATCTATTATTCAAAAAAATATACAAAAGACTCATTTGTTAACTGTTCCATAAAGAATAATCGCTAAATAAAAAAAAAATATATATATAAGATAGTGGAAAAAAGTTTAACAGCAGAGTATTTGTGGATTTTTTTTTTTCTATAATGTTAAGCAATTAGCTCAAATCCAGATGATGATTTTAATATTCAATGAAGTTTTCTATCTAATGCATCCTATAGCAAGGTTTTCATGTGTCGGAGCTCTTTTTTAATAATACCATTTGAAAAAGCATAAAATTCTGAACAAGATAAAGGATCATCGTATTTTCTCCGACCTTTCCTTAAAAAGTTCCAAATATAAAACTATCGGTCAAGTGTTACATGTATCAAAAGTAAATTAAGGAAGAATATCGCTAGATTTTTATAAAAGACAATCTATAAATAATACAAAGAATTATAGTAGATAAATGTACGTTCAAGTGAATCATGTATGGTAACGTCCTGCAATCGGGTTGAGTGCCCAATATGTTCAAGTCCTGGATATGATCTCATACCTGGACTAGAAAGATGCCAAGAAGTTGTACCCGTGTAGGACACTAATATACGGTGTGTTCCATTCGAGAGATTTCCGAAATTTTAGGAAGGTAGTAAACTCGTCGTACGATGTCCGTATTCAGTGGTCGAATATTCATGCTTTCGGCAAGAAGCAATTGTAAGGTCGTCGGACACGATCATCCAAGTTTCTATCATTGTCCGGAGTCTTCGACCGGGAAAATCACAGTGCCATATATCGAAATCATTGACTTTAATGAATACACAAATTCAATTGCTAAATATTATAAGTACTCAAATAATAAACTTTATTGATTTTCAATCACTATATTGTATTAATCTAAATAGTTTGCCTTAATCTACATTTATGAGAAAATTCATCGTCATTGATTTAAATTGAATTCTAATGTTTCAATTGATTAGATATAATTTTCAATGGATTTATGTTTGTTAATATAATTTAAATAATTTTATTTCAAAATATATTGCATTATCGAGAAAAATACTAGTCGAAGTATTGAATTGAAGTTATTTATTTCTCTTTCTCTGCTGAATTAAATAATAAAAAAAAAAAACATCCACTTTTTTCAACACGAAAAAAAAAAGAGTTGTTTCATACAAGAAAACAAATAAAACAAAAAGCTTAGCAAATATAGTGTCTTTTTTTTTTTTGGTTTTATTTACAGTATAATACACATACGAATATATATATATATATATAATACAATACGATGAAGAGTTAGAACAAAGCTAAATAAGCAACAAATAAAATAAATTACTGTTACACATCGAATCTTTTTTTTACATTACATAAGTAATGTTTTATTTTAAAATAGATGAATCTTGTAAAAAAATTTGTGTTTGTAAAAGATTCGTAAATAATTGTTTATGATCATTCAATGTTTTTTGCATATTACTCGTTGATACATGACATTTAAATGTAAATATTTCATAAAGACATTCAAGTAAACGATTCCATTGTTTTAAATCACAAGTATGTACATGTGTATGACAATGTTCAAGATGATGAATAAGTAACTAAAAATATGAAAAATCAAAAAGAATTGAAATTTATAAGACAACATACTTCTATCTGTGTTCCAAATAAAAAAATTGGATTACCAATTTTAGGTAAATCTTTTATTGTTAAACGACAAACACGTGATAAACGTTGAAGAAATGATAATTGTTGTTCATTTAAAAATGTTTGAATTTTATCTTCATTAATATTATCATTATTATTTTCATATTGTATATATTTTGAAATAGATTCTAAATCAATAAATTCATTTATAAAACCAATTGAACGTTGTCGAAATTTTTTTGTTATAAATTCATAAATATGATTTAATTTTTCAATATAATTAAAACGTTTGGAACATGAAAGATTTTTTTGTCTTGATAATGCACGTAAATTAGAAAATTTTTTTAATTCAATTTCATATTGTGGCATATTTGATCGATCATATGAACAAAGTAAACATCGACAAGATGTTATACTAAATTGACGTAATTGAAATGTACGTTGATTTAATGATGATATCCATAATGGACAATAAGATATAGTTAATTCATCACCTTGTCGAATATTTGATGCACAAACATATATAAATAGATTATCACCAATAAGATACCATAAACAATTTGGTAAACAAGAATGATTAAACATTGAACCAAGTGGATACCAACCAAGTGTTGATTTTGAACGAAATGGATTTTGTTGTTGAGTTTCAAAAAGAATACGCCATGGAATATGTGATGTTGGAGGTGATAATCGTCTAAAAGAATTTATCAATATATGAGATTTAAATTATATTATTTGTAAAAGAAAGGAATTTCTGAAAAAAAATATGTTTCAACTAAAGTTTATTCAGAAAAAGATGTTAGCAAAATTTCTCTACGATTAAAATGTCAATCATGATGTAGTTGCTGTTGCTAATTACAAGAATATTATTTTATTCTATCTATGTTGAGACATATTTCTTTATTATTCTCAAATTTTTATCCCTATATTTCAACACTCATTTTAGATCGTGTTTCACAAAATTACCAAAACCAGCTACTTTTGTCATAAAATTTGAATGAAGACGCTTAAAAAAACTTGTCAGCACAGTCCCTTTAGAATTGTCTTCTTTTTTTGCTGGCATTCTAGTTTTTGTTTGCCTTGTTGCTATTCGCTCGTTAGTTAATCAGCAAATAAACTTGTTGTACATATTCATTATATCTACAACATAGTATTATATATATATATCGATAAGTTCGAAAACACTGATATTGATTACTTCAAACTTTTTATGTTAATCATATGACGATTGTAGCAAATCAATGCGTCACTATCCATCATCTTTTATATATTGAATATAAATTTTTATCTGAGCAAAAATAGAAAACTACACTATGTAGAACAGTTCTAGTTTTATTTTTAATACTGTTCAGCATCCTTTTCCGTTGTTAAGGAAGTCTGGAAAACGAGTCTGACGCCTGTTGTTCTCAGTTGCTATAGAACCGTACCCAATGACAGTTAGCCTTCTTCCGCCTCTCATTTCTGGGGAAAATATACTCATTGATCTCTAATCTTTGACCTGATTTCGTGATGTTTCGTCTATGTAAGTCGATCATTTATTGAATGTTTAGATAGCCAAGACAGTTGAGCCTGATCTTTTGTTGTTTTCATTAAAATATTTGTTAGCATCTTTGCTACTAGCATATTGTATAAAGAGTTTTTTTAAATAAGATTTTCAAATATTTTTAGGAAATCTTCGCAATTATTCAATAATCAAATTCTTTAAAAAAATTCATATAAACTTACTTAGAAAATGGCTGTTGCCATTGTTTTTTTGATAAAACTAACATTTGATCATTGTCTAATAATTCAGATGTATCATTATTATTTTCTTGTTCAGTTTCATTATCATTTTTTCTTTCAATTAACCATTGTCGAATAGGTTGCATTAATTTAATTTTATCAAATGTTATCCAACTATTATTACCAATTAATAATTGTTTTTCAACTTCATTTAATAAACGTAATATATCATCATTACAATATTCAATAGTAGAATTTTTTTCATTTGTTTGCCAAAAATTCATTGAATAACAACGTTGTTCACCAATAACTCGATTATCAATACTAGCAAATGGTTGTTCAACAATTAATAAAGTACCTGGTTCAATATTTTTTAAAGCATAAATACCATAAGAACCTTTTGGATATCCATTTTTAGTTAATTCTTCTGGCTAAATAAATAAAATTATCAAAAAAAAAAAAAAAAAAAAATTTCTATTTAATACTTACTCGACATGATCGTACTTCAAAAAGATCATTTCGATTACATTCAGCATGATAATGTGATAAATCAATAAACATTAAAGGTGGTTTATCATTTTTATGAATTGATATTTGTTCATATAACATTCCTTGAAGATCATATCGTCCTTTTATATTTTCATCACGAAGTCTTATTAATTCTCGTTCAAGTATAGTTATAGCTGCTAAATTTTCTCCATTTCTTAAACCAATATTAAATTTATGAGATTTGATAAGACTTTCAACTTTATCAAATAAACCTAAATGAAGATGTGCACTAAGACAACGAAAAAGAAGTTTGCCAGCAGTTGTTTTTGGTGATTCAAGTACATGTGATAATTCATTTATGGATAAAAGTATACTTGTATCAGCTAAAGCTAAAGCTGCATGTCGTTCACGTAAATAACAAGCACATCGATTTGATAATAGACGAATACGATGTTGTTCACATTCATCCGTTTTTGGACCAACTAAAACAAAAACAAAACAAAAAAATGTATAAAATACAGAATGTTACAAAAATAAAATTTGAATAACTCTTTAGTAGTTCAATCGATTTATATGTTTCTTTTATTATTTAATTCTATACTCATCAATGTTTTATACAACATATTTAACTATACTTATGAACATTAAAATACAATTTGTTCTAATTATTAGTGGACCAAATTTAGTTTATCTACAATAGTTCATATGAAAACTGCTAGTTAAATTTGACAAAGAAACGCAAAATAAAGATGACGTTGTAATAGATCGGTAATATTCTGAATGTTTTACAGAAATAACACAAGAAAAAGTCATTGAAGCTCATGTTAGTAATGAAAGAGTGTATCAATTGTTCGCAAGGTTTGTTCAACAGCATATTAAATCATAACAGAGCTCAATAAATAATTTAACAAAATTATACTTCTTCGAGTTTCGTCTCTATATCACATTAAGTTGTGAGCAACATTTTTCCTATCATAGGAAATTCAAAGAACTGATTCTATTCGATGAACTTCATAGTCGTGTCATTTCGCACCATTCGAATTCTTTCTATGAAGACACATAAAAGATGATACCTACTAAAAATCATATTGAAATAACAATAAGAATCGGGTAACGAAAATAAAATAATTTCGTCGGAAACTTCATGTAATGCCGTTTTTTTCAAATATTTGCAGACAATGGATTATGTATTTCAATGATTTAAGATAAAACTTTTGAAAAAAAAACGTAAAATAAAACTATAGAAAGGTCATGAATATTGCTTGAATTATTCAAAATTTATTCATGCTTTGTTTTTTTTTCAGCAGACTTTAGGAACAATGGCAAAATCATTGGTTAGCGACGTCACTTTGCAAAACTAAAAGACATTTATCTCTAGATAATGAACTTTTCTAGGTCTAATTTTTGATGCTACATGTATGCTAAGTTACTCTACAAAATCAGCATTAGAGATCTTTTGTTCAGAGAAGTTATCAGTAAAAAAAAAGCTAGCGTTAGCGACGTGATACAAAAACGGATATTGACTTTCACTTCATGCATTTTAGTTTAAAAAAAAAACACTCCGAATTGTGATACATATATGGGATTTCTGGAAGATTAAGTAAAAGGATAGTGAAGAAATATGTTCCAAAATCGATGGAATAAAACAATATCGCTGTGATTAGTAACAACAATTACATTATATTTGACATTTTAATCTCGCAGAGATTGCGCTAATAGCTTTAAATTAATTAATCATCAGCTCGAAGAGCAAATTACTAAAAGAACTTATTCAGAAAAATAATCCAAAATCAAATGAAAGATGTGTCTGTTCCCGTTTTGCCTGATATGACTCACATATTTCTTTTTATTTTGAAAGAAAAACTTGTTCATACTTGATTTTCCTTTGGATGTTAATTCTTTTTCTTGTTGTTCATCAATTTGTCTTAAACCATATGTATAAAATTGAATAGCACCAAGATTATCATCAGCTTGATAACATGTATTACCCCATTGACGTAATTGATCAACATTTATTCGATTACTTGTTGAACAACGTGTTTCAAAATCAATCATTAATAAATGTGTATTTGGTGATTCACAACGTAATCCTATTTCACCATCATGACACATTTTAAACCATGGATCTAATATAACAATACATGAATTTATTGGTAAAAGACGTGTTAAACATTCTTGTATATAATTATAGGATTTTATTTGTCGTGTATTCATAATATATGACCAATTATAAATTGATAAACGAAGACAATGTGTATTTTCATCTTGTACAACAACATGTACAGCATAACGTGTCCATATAGGTGTAGAAATTATTTTTACAGGTAAACGACTATTTAAATGAATATGATTAATACGAAGAAGATTAATTTTTAATTGTACTGATGTTTCCATACGATCCATCTATTAAAAAATAAAGATATTTTTTTTTTGTTTTTTCAAAGGAGGAGATGTGTCAAATTACGGATCAAACGTCTCAAAGAAGCTGAATCTAGTTTTATTAGCTTGAAAATCAGTATTGAACCCTGATTAGTTTTTACAAGTTTATTTTGTATTTTATCACGTCTCACTTTTTCATACCTGGGATTCCCCTCAGGTATCGAAAACAATCTTTTTTTATCGTTGTTTTGTTACAAGTCTTTATAGTTCGATAGTGTGTTAAGTATGCTGATTACAAATATTAGAACTTTTTTCAAACGCACTCAGATAATAAGAAAGATCTGAAGTACTCTTTGAAAGCCTTAAACACCAGTTTTTAACCTAAAAGTTGATTTAGATCTGTCGAAAATAGGTTCATTTGATGCAGAGTATCTTTCTCTATTAGAATCTATAAGAACTTAGATATTCAAATATTATTCTATCGATAAATGACAAATACCATTCAAATGTGGTCATATT